GGGCAGCCAGGCATGAGCCCCTCTGGACAGGGTCCCCAGGAGCCTGGGCTGCTATAAGCTGCAGATAGACAGAGGCCGGGCCAAGGTGCGGGTCAGTGGGTGAAGGCCAGACAGGGAAGCCAAGGTCAGGCAGCAGTCCTGCTAACCAGGGTGAGGGCGGAGGGATCACTGTCCGCTTCAAAACTGGGCTGAACCCGGGCCTTCTGAGCCCCTGAGCCTCATTCCTAGGTCGCAGGACAGACCTCAGACTGGCCACCGCCTCCAGGCCTCTTCCCGCTCTGCCCTCACCCGCAAGGCCCCCTCAATTCCCTGAACCCTAGGCCAGCAGCCCACCTGCTCAGGGCCACACTCAGATGGTAACCCATGCAGCCACTTGTCTGGAAGGCAAAGAGACCACAAAAGCCCCTGGGGATTTCTGCCCCAGCTCTGGTCAACCAGGGCCCCAGTTGCTAAAGAGGACAGAGCAGTGGTTCACAGGCCCCTTGTGGGCCCAGCGCTCCTGATGGGGGTCTCCCAGGGCCCTCGGTGCCACCGTGCTGTCAGCTTTCCCCAGAAGAACACACCCACGTCTGTCTGTGCCACATGCCAGGCCAGCTGGGGCCTGCGGAGTGGCCTGCAGTCTCCCTCGGGGACGGACAGGGCTCCGTGTGAACAAGCGGGCCAGCCAACATAACTTATTTGGGTAACAGCACCCAAAGATTGTCAACTGCAAATCTCCAGAAGTGACAGCCCCAACACCTCCTTCTGGGTAAAAAAGATACAGATGGAGACTCTGAGGCCGGGTGGCTCATCACAGTCACCAGGACAGCCAGGTGACAACCAAGGATAACTGCAGGCTGGGGACTCCCCCAGCCACCACTCCACGAGAGCCCCCAGCAGAAGGAAATTCACGCTCACAAATGGACACTTCCTCTGCCTAGTTCACAGCGGTGCACCCCAAACCACAGTGGCGTCACCCCTGCCTGTGACATCACAGTGTGACACGGTGGAAAAAGGCCACGAGCCAGGAAGCCCAAAGCTCTGGGGTGAGGAGGCGGAACTCGGGGCCAGGACCCAAGGGCACGTGCCTGTTAGGGGCGACAGAGGGCTCCTTCAAGGACGGTGTCCTCCCACCAGAGCTTCCCAGCCAGCGGGCCCACAGTGGATGCACAGCGCTGGGGAAGCGGAGTCTGGCTGCAGATCTGTGAAAGGCGCTAATGAACCACCAGGGGCAGGGAGGCAGGCAACAGACGCCCCAGCCCCACCTGGGCTTCTGCACTGTGGCTTCACGCAAGCCAACAGGCACCCCGAGTTGCAACGAGTTCGGGCACATCCAGGGTGGTGCAGCTGCACCCCAAATTGTGGATGCCACTAGCCCCTGAGTCAAAGAAACCATTTCAGCCAAAGCAAGTGGCTGCAGGGAAAAAGAACAGAGGCTGGAGCAGAGACAGCAGCAGGGAACTCGGGGTTCTCTTTCCTGGGAAACTTGTAACCCCCAACCACCCCAAATCTGGGGCCTTTGTTAAACACATCCAAAGCTGACACTTTCATTATCTTTGCGGCCAGCGCTGAGACCAGTGCAGTTAGGGTTACTAGAGAGGGGTGCTTAAGCCCCAAGAGGTTATGTATGAGTGAGGTCACACAGCAGGTCGGATGGGCACTTTCCTAACACTCAGAGCTCCTTCCACCAGCCATGCTGTCCTGGGAGCTACCTGGAGGTGAGGGAAGGGACAGCAGGAGCACAGAAGAGTTGTCACAGGGTCCCTCCTCAGAGTCACAAGGAAACAGAGTTTCTCACATCCCAGATAGGAACCAGAAGAGCTTCAGAGAATCCACCTGCACCCATCTCACAGGTGTGCAAGCTGAGGCCTGGTGCATCCCCCTGTCCTTTACCAGATGCGCCCTCCTTGCCTTCTAGGGACAATCAGCACTGAGGCAGGGGTTGCTTCTGTCCACAGATGAGGACACAGAGGCTCCCGGCACACCGAGAAGCCTTGGAGTCGAGCCCCAAGGTCATCAGCACTGCCCCCTGCCTAGCAGACAGTGTTGGGAACCGGGAGCCACTGCATCTTCACTCAGTTCCTGGTCACCCCGTGGTACGTGGTACCTCTCCCTCCCACCCTCCACTTCCTTCCCTGCCTGCTGCCTTGTCAAACTCTCACTTGTCATCTGTCACCCAGGGTCACGATGGAGGTCAGATGACTAACGTGGGATGGTGTCAGGTTCTGAATACCTACCCAGGCCGGTGGCGCTCAGCCAGGGGCTCTCATCCGGGCTCCTTTCAGGATGGGGACATTTAGCAACATCTGAGACCCTTTTGACTGTGATAAGTGAGGTAGGTGTCGTTGGCATCTGGTGCACAGGGGCCCCCTAGCTTGGCCCTGGGCTGAGGGTCTATGCCGCCCCGACATCCTGGCAGTGTGGCTCTGGATAGATGGGAGCTGGTCCCCAGCTGGGCACCAAGCAGAGAAGGGAGGTGAGGAATGAACGGCAGGGAATGAGGGTGCCTGTACCACGGGCACCCACCTCAGTCAGCACACAGACGCCCCTGGAGATGTCAGAGGACAAACAGTCACAGACACGGCAGAGGGAGGGGAGTCCCCAGCTCACCTGACTGCACCCCGAAGGCCAGCCGCGGAGCCCTCAGGCTCTTCCCTAACCTGATAAGACAAACAGACTTGGGGAGGTAGCGGGGAGACCCTGAGAGAGGACAGTCCTCTCACTGCTGCCCCCTGCTCCCGGCACAAGCACTCACCCATCCAGCCAGCTCCCTGACCCATTCAGAAATCAATTAATGAACAATTAAAGGGAAGGATGGTGCATTCCACACGAGCCGCCAAAGGGACACAGTGGGGACAGCACAGTGAGTCTGCATCTCCCCTGACCAGCGCAGGTGTCCTTGGGGCTTTTTTCCCCATGAGGGTTACTGCCAAGCCTGCTATGTGGGAAGGACCTGTGGGGACAGTAGTGGACACAGGGCACAGGGGAGTCTGCTGGAAAGAGGTTCGGGAGTCCAGCGAGCGGCATTCGGATGGTCAGGGGACCGCATTGCTGCAATCTCAGGAAATGCCACAGCCTCTGCAGGGCTGTTTCTACTGCGCTCAATGGGAACAGCTCCGCCTCCCTCTCCGGAGCTTCTGGAAAGGAGGTTTCAGTGTGATTCTGTGGCAAAATACCTAGCACAGTGCCTGGCACGCGCGTGTAGGTGGCCAAGAAGGAGGAGCTGTTGTAGTGCAAACATGAGATCAACAGAGGAACCCACAGTGCCTGCCCGCAAGGACCCTGCCATGCACTGAGGTGGCTACAACAGGACCAGCTTAAAAGGCAGCACCTAAGCCACCCTGGGAAGGATGAAGAGCAGATCAAACCTAAGCAGGAGAATGGGACAGCTTTTCCTGGAATGGGTGGCATTTGCATTTAACTGGGATGACAGTTAAAGTGGATTGTGCAGAGGACACAGCATGGGCAAAAGGCTGTGCACAGTGCCCACCTGGTCATGAGTTTCACTGGGCATGGGGCATGTGTGGGCAGGGGCAGAACAGACATCTCACCCTGGTCTGAGCCCCTGGGAGCCACAGAGGCACCCCAGGAGGAGCAGAGGTGGCCAAGGCTTGAGAAAGGGTTCTCTGTCAAGCAGGACCTGTGGGACTGAACACAGGGCCAGGCGCCCAGCAGAGAGCTTCCTCCAGGGGCAGGAATGTGAGAGCCCAATCCACACTGGTCAGGACAGGAAGGAGGTGGCAGGGACCCTTCTGCAACTCCAGGAAAGCCCTGGGTCCTGCAGTGCCCTGTGCCTGCTGGTCTTCCTGCCCACTGGGACTCACAAACATCCAGGTCTCACCCAGGATGGCCAAGCTCAGCTCAGACCTCAGCCCCTCTCCTTATCAGGCCAGCGCCTGTGGCATGACCCATGGTCAGGCTGGAGACCACAGCCACCCACAGCCACACTCAGCCCTCAGAGGGTGCTCCTGGGCCTCCACCCAGACAGCCCCCAAGAACCACCCACTCCTGGCACCACCATGGGTGGGGGAGTCCATGTGAGCCCCACAACCCCCTGCACCCCTCCCTTCCTCCAAAGCAGGACTCCTGGGCTCTGGATTATTGAATTACCTCACATCATCACAAAAACCAATGTCACCTCCCACCTCCTCCCCAGCAAGATGTCCAGAGGGGCCTGCAGCCCTCCCTGGAAGCCAGGGGAAAGAGAGGAGATGCCCTCGAAGGAAGCACCCACCTCCACACCTTAACACAAACACCCAGTTCTCTGGGCCTCGGTTTTCCTTCTCTGTGAAATGGGGCTCCCTGTTTAGCAGACAGTGGTGACTCACAAGCCTTTTCTATATGCAACCTTGTCACTGCGGTAGACAACATGAATGTCCAGTCTTGTGATCTCTGCTCTCCTCCAATTTTCAGGGCTCCCCAGAAGAGCACGCGTTCCGCGCTTGATAACCAGCCCCCAGGCCACCCTGCCCTGCCGTCCCCAGCGCCCACAGAACACATTTGGAAACCCACTGGGAGGATTCTGGCAAGCAGCCGGCCAGAAGCGAGGGAGGCGCTCACGGCAAACAGCGCCCTGCTTAGCCCGTCTTGTGCTCTCAATAGCAGCCGAGTGTTTCTAAGAAAATGGAAAACCGACGCCCGAGGGAGGAGGAAGTCTGCTGCAGGCACGGCCCTCGTGGGCAGTGGGCAGCGACCCGTGCAGCCGACTCCGCGCGCGGGCACCAGGGCTGTCGCCGCGGTGGCAGGAACCAAGGAGAAGGTCCCGGGCGGACCGGGCTCGGCTTCGGAACGCCCGGCCCGCGACCCCGAGGAACCCGAGTGCGTGTGACCTGGAAGGCGGGATGTGGGGACCCGGGTTCCCTGGGCGCGCACGTGTGCCAGGCCCCGCGTCCCGGGCGCGCGGCGACAGGACACAGGGAGGCTGCTCCAGGGTCCCCCGAGCCCCTCGGTCCCCCAGTCTCGCGCCCCGGGATGCGCACCCGCCGGGATAGCAGCTGTCACCTAGCCGGCGAGTCACCCACCTGGGCAGGCACCGCTTGCCCCGCGGCCCAGAGCTGCAGCCCGACGGCCAGCGCGGCCCACAGCGCTGCGGGCGCCATGGGAAGCGGATCCGAGAGCGCCCGGCCCGCGCTCTGCACCCGGAGCCTCCGCGTCCTGAGCTCGCGCGCCAGCGACTGAAAGCGAAAGCGGGCGGCGGCGGAGGGGAAGGCAGGCGGCGGGGCGGGGCGGGGCGGGAGGGGCGGGGCGAGGCTCGGACACGCCCCCCGGGGGCCCTGGTGGTCCTGCTTCTCTCCCCGCCCTGGGTGACTCCTCGACCTCCTTGTCTTCCTGCCTACTGCAGGGCAAGAAAGTGGCCCTGAGGACAGGCTCCCACCTGGCTCTTGACTGCCAGGGGCTGGCCCTCTGCCCTTGCCCTGCCTCTGCCCACCTTCCCAACTCCCCTGGGGTAGGTACCAGCTCCCCCAAAAGCCCACACCGACACCGCTCTGGGCACCCAAAGAGTCCCTAAGCATACACTACACTAGAGCGTGTGTCAGGTGTGCGCTTACGAAGGAAGCGCAGCCCTAACGTCCAAGCATCGCGTAAACCGCTGTTCTTTCTACGCTCCGTTTGTCTGTTTATGTTAACTGTTTCTGGGGCCCTTCGGAGTGAGCCCCTGCTCCTTCCTGAGTCCCTCAGCTGGCAGCAAACAGACTGCAGGAGGAAGCGCTCCAGGAATCCATGGGGCTGGGGCGCCCTGCGGAGCTGACTCTGACCTACCTCCCCCTGAGTGTCCCTCGAGCTGTCTTCCGCCCCCTCCACTTTAAATGCCAGTCCAAATGTCAGGGTCGCTATGTGTGGCCACAGCCAGTCCTCTGGCTCTGCACGCAGGACATGCTGGAGCCGTGGAGCAAGAGGCTGTTCTGTCCCCGCTGCCCGTCCCACCCTGGCACCTCACTCAGGCAGCTAAAGAGGTACAGAGAGCCTTTTGGGTGAGGGGAGCAGGAAACTGGGAAGTGGCCCTTCAGGGATGGAAAATCCCACCTCATGGTCAGGAGGAGCCTGGGAAATCACCTGGGTCCCAGGGTTTTGGTGACATGAGCTGTGTCAAGGGTGCTGCTAGCGGGACCCAAGCTTCAACCCTGCACAGAAGGTCAGCCATAGAGCGCACAGGAAGACAGACTTCCACTGGCCCCGCATCTCACCAGGGAGCAGACTGGAGAATTCCTGGGTCCGTAAGAGAGAACTAAAAGCCAGGAGTAGGATGTCACTGGGGGGAAGCGTGCTTTCCACACTTCCAAGCCGAATGGTCCAACTGGCCCATCTACTGCAGCCAGCAATGCAATGACAGGGGCCAAATGTGGGAGCCCAGTGCCAGTCCCACACACTAGATAAATCACAAAGACCAGAGGTTGATTTGGCTCATAGCTCTGGCCAAGGTCAAGAGCATCTGGTGACAGCCTCCTTCCTGACAGAGCCCTGGGGACGCACATGGTCGTGTGTGCACCACCCGAGTCAGTCATGGGGGCTCCTCCCTGCTGACCTTATCTAATTCTGGTCACCTCCAAAGGCCCACTCTGAACACGGCTGTCAGAGTGCCTCCCCCTCTTGACACCTTACAGTGGGGACTAAATTCCAAGCCCAGTTCGGAGGCCACACACCCCAGTAAACCAGATGGGGATTCCCATCTGGAAACCATTAGTGCTCCAACCTCTCGGGCAGGCTGCTGGGAGCTTCCCCCTCCTACAGCTGGGCCACCTGGGCCGAAGACCCTGGTGACTTCGCACTTAACTCAGGGTCAGGCCCAGGGTGGAGGGTTTAAGGACAAAAATTACAGTGGCAGCCAGAGTAGGCAGCCACTTGACCCTGTGGCCGTGGGGCACAGTCCCTGCCTCCCCGGCACCAACCCCTTCTCTTTGTACAAATTTCTGGCGTGCTTGGAGAATCTCTCACTAATTCCTCTGACCAGGGCTCCACAGCAGCAGGATGCCTGGACTCTGGCCCTGCAGGATCACTGGCCTTCCAGGCGCTTCCTGCCAATGCTGCCTCCCCTAGTGGGTAGAGATGGCCCTAGGCTGGCTTCCTTCCTGGGTGCAGTGTTTCTGCTCTTTGCTCAGCACCCCCATCCCAGCTCACACCTGGGCACCCTGTCTGGCTCCAGCAGCGCCACCCCACAGCCCTTTATCCACGCACTCCTTTAAGCGCACTGCTTTGTACCTGCCCAGGGGAGCAGGAAATCAGCAGAGGGCAGATACACAAGAATTCCTAGAAGGGCAGGGCGGGGTGGTGCATGCCTGTCATTCCAGCACTTGGGAAGCCAAAGCAGGAGACTTGTCATGAGTTCCAGGCCCGACTGGGCTACATAGTGAGTTTAAAGTCAGCCTCAGCTACATGGCAAGACCTTGTCTCAAAAAACTAAAACAAACTCGAACAAAACAAACCCAAAATGTGACATGAGCCTCAGCAGGCAGTGAAGACGTGCACACCCACACTTCCTCCTCTTCTCAGGCAGGACTCAGATGCCTGCCCGTGAAGGGACCTGTCGGAAGCCGGTGCCTGGATCAAGACTAGAGCACCCAGCGGAAAGGTACCGCCCCGAAGAGCAGGGAATCTCCTGGCAGACCCACAGCTGGGACAGCGTGGGGTCAAAGCCCTGACCGCTCTGGAAGTAGCTGCTGCATCTGTGGAGATAAAAGTTCAGGGTTGCCAGTTCACACAGGAAAAGTGAGAGGTCAAACTCCCACGGTGGCCAGACAGGAGAAGAGGAAGAGGAAGAAGAAGAAGATGAAGGAGAAGGAGAAGGAAAAGGAGAAGGTGAGAGATAGGCAGGAGGGGGAGAAGGAGGAGGAGACATGTCCAGAGCAGGCCAGGCCAAGCAACGGAGCAAACAACCAACACCGGGCATTATTGTGCCTGGTTTTAGCAAGAAGGGTCCTGATGCCGACTCTTAAGCCCTGCATTATCCTGGCTTTCTCTCATGAAGCCACTTTTCACAGGCCTAAAATGAAAGGGAGAAAAGAAAGAGAGAGAGAGAAAGACAGACAGACAGAAAGAAAGGAAGGCAGGAAGAAAAGGGTTTCAGAATAGTCCTCTGTGGTCCTTCCCATCTGTCCCCAGAGAAAGGGGTGCACCCTCTCACATTTATTTCAGCTGGGGACAGACAGTGACACATTTTCTTCACCCAGGATGGGGGTTGATCTGGCCCCCACCACAGTGCAGCCCCCCATCAGGTGTCCATGTAAACTTTGGTAACAGTGAGGGCGGGCTGTCCCTCTAACAGCTGCCTGAGCCTGGTCACCTGGGCCTCCCTCACCCCAACCCAGCCTAGGCCTTGGTCTTGGCCCTGTCACTCATGATGCTAATCATGACACCTCAGGGCTCTTCTGAGGCTCTGTCCCTGCATTCTGTTCTCCAGCTGTGCTCAGGACCAGCCCTCAAAGATATGTGACACTCAGGACACTCCTGTAGCCCGGAAATGCTCTGCCAGGCCACAGTTTTGCCTTCCACTGCCACCCTAGGGCTGTGTGGCAATGTCTAGAGACATAACTAGGGGGCAGGGTGAGGAGCTCCTGGCATCCCATGGGTAGAAACCAGGGATGCTACCGAACACACTATGGCCCCCCATAAGAGGACTGTCCAGCCCCAAAGGCCCATCTTGATCCCAAGGCTGAGCAACTTGGCCCAAGGCACAGTCCCCACAGCCCTCAGAATCGAGTTCAGCCTCCTCAGTGAGACCCTGGAGACCCTCATGTCCTGGCCCAGGCTGCCTCTCGGGCAGATGGGCACCACCCCACCCTGCCTTCACACTCTGGGCATCCAGGGGACCCCCAAGCTGCACCTCCAGCCTCTGTCTGTGTGGGTTCCTCTGCTTGGGACCTCTTCCCCTCCTTGTTTTTCTGGTGATTGCTTGTCCCGCGGCCAGGGCCACACTTCCATGCTGTGTGAAATTGCCTTGACGTAAGCGAGCCCTCCATCAGCACGCCACGCGCCGTGACATTATAGCTCCTTACACACCCCTTTCCCTTCATAACTGTGGCACCAGCAGCGATCGGAAGTCCTCTCTGGGTGACCAATGCGTGGCACCGGAAGGTCCAGTTTGGAAACCCTTACGGCTAGTGAAGGGCTTAGCCATTCCAGTTCCATTGGGCGGCCTTTGTGGCCTTCAGCTGAGCTCTCCTCATTCTGCTGGATGACATCGCCCTTAGGGACAGAAAACTGTGGTTATGGCCCTTTCAGTTTCCCTGATCACAGGAGACACATGGTAGGAGGAACTCAATAAAGTCCAAGTGACTATGACTGGACGAGGGCTACGTGCATGCAGGAAGCGAAGATCTACAGGAATGAGAGAATGCGCATGCGCCAGAGTCCCCCACGGGAGTTCAATCCCGGACCCGCCCACAGACACAGACAGACTCCACCACACCTCTCCGCCCTGCAGCACAAAGCTCCACTTGCTCCTTGCAGATGGGTGGAAGAGACAGGAAGATGCCTTCTGGTCTCCACTCCAGTAAGTGAATTTGGCCCGGGGGCTCCCCGAGCCTCTCCTCGCTTCCCAGGGCATCTCCCAGTTCCAGAGAGCTCCCCACCCGGCCACCTCACACCCAAGCAAGCCGATGACTCTGATCCTGCCGCAGCAGGCAGTATGGACTACTGTAATCCAAACATTGGAATTCCTTTTCCAGTCCACCTCCCAATCTGGAAGTCTATATTTATGATCCCATTGAAATGTTATTGGAGTTCCGGCAAGTTAATCCCAATCTACCACTTCCAATGCAACCCACACTGAGGCATATTCAAAGTTAAGGGCAGCCAGAGTGTCTTAAGTCCAAGGGAAGTTATACGGGGCAAGGGCCTTGATCCAGGGTCTCTCCCAGAATTCATTACCTTGTGAAGAAGGGAGTGGCTCAGGGATGAGTGACAGTGAGGATGGCGGGAATCACGTGAGCAAGGTGAGCTGACCTAGCGGGGCAGAGCAGGCACCTCTGCGGTGTGAGGGAGAAAGTCGTGCAGAAGGACAGTCTGCTTAACTCGACGGGGACAGCGTGTGAGTGAACTCAGGAGGCTGTTGCTTCAGTTTCTGGGATGTACACTTTCGTACCTGGGGACTCACAGCCTCTTACTTTGAGGCTGGTACCCAGCTGACAGTCCTGGAGCTGTCTGGCTCTGCCATCCTGCTGCCTTCCACCATTTT